TTTTTATTTTTGCATGTTATCACTGTGCCCGTTTTTTGCTTTTATTCTTTGTTCCGCAAAGTGCGCTCTTTTAGTTTGTAGTGATGTGACAATATATATGTATATCGTCAAATATATCTCACACACACACACACACACACACACACACACACGCTTTGGCGGCAGACGGGTGTATGGCCACTTGGCACTGAACCACACAATCGTGGCCAACCTTGCATCTTCTATTATACTGCAAGGAAAATGAGCGATAGCGAATTCCAGAAAACCAAGCAGCATCATACACATGAAACCAGATAGTCGTGACCTCGAACCAGAAGCAGAATTGCAACTAGAGTTCCACCAAATAAGAGCACAGCAAAAGCTCACAAGTGACAATGTTGGAATAGTCTCATCATCATCAACAATGAACCAATGTCGATTCCCTTGTGGCGCTCGGCACCCAGACTACGAATGGCAGATCCTATCTAGCCTATCTACAATGCCGCTGGTGACTTTAACAGCTCCCCGAAGTACAAGCAGATCTCAGCCAATCCCGTTCGCCTCAAGCGCAAGGTATGTCTCACGCTTCACTCACAGCTTCAATCCCCCTCGCCGATGCCACGTGCACCCAAGGACCACCATGCGCCCATCCAGCACCTCGCAGGCCAGTTGGGCTATGGTTGCCTGCGTGTAACCTGCTCGCCAGTGAGGGCCTGGACGCTTGCCTGCCAGTAGCGCAGCAGCACTTGCGCAGCATGTAGCAAGTGCCCGAATGCCGAATGCGGAGGCAGGCACTTTCCTATATGAAGGTGGCCTGCCTGCTGCGTGCTGCCTGGCTGCGCTGGGCCCCTGCCCAGAAGCTTCCGGTAGGCCCCAAGTGGGGAGCCCCGGTCCAACAGATCAGGCACAGGGCCTAGGGTGGTTACCCGTGTCCAACTGCCAGCGGCCTGTGTGCAGTCCATGCCCCGTGTCTAGCCCAGGGCCTGCCTCAGATACATTTGAAAAAGGCAGGCAGGGCCTGGGCTCCCTCAACCAACTGGCGCTGCACAACTGCCTGAATTTCCCAGTTGTGTGGAAAGCCCAAAATAGGCCTCTCGTCCCCTGTCAGGCCTGCCTTCACTTACGGCGGCCGATATAGCTGAAAACAGGGCCCAGTAGGGCTCATCGAGGCCTTGAGCCTCACATTCCCTCCTTCATACTTCGACAGTCCTCTGAGAAGTTCAATCACTCAATCTGGCGCTTTCCTTTCTGCAGTGACTTCTAATACTGAGCGACAATCTGTGGAACGGTCTGCAGTCAGTTCCTCCCGAGTAAACCATCTGTCCTCTTTTGGATCCATGTGATGTCTGAACCGAACGCGATATTGCAGCTTCGGCTTAGGAGGACGTCCCCTGCCTGTTGGTCTTGGAACTGGCATTTCTCTGTGTTCCATGATGTCGTCGATGTCGACCTCTCCATCAATGCTTGGGGGCAGCATTGAGCGACGAGAGCGGAACTGATCAGTTTCCTTGAAAGGTGCGAGCTTGGAGGCGTGAAAGACAGGGTAGGTGCGAAGGTGACCAGGGATCCGTATTACATACGATGGCCCATGCGGATCATTGCCAACAATATCTAGAACCTCCCATGGGCCGAAGTACTAACTACTTGCGGGAGATCCCATGCTCTTGCCCGAGTTCAAAGGCTTTGACCCAGACTGTCCCCTACCTGGAATGTAGATGGGCGGCGGTGCTGGTTCTCAGACTCTATCATTGCTGCCTGTGCTCTATGCATATGTTCTACAGCTTGCTGCATCAGGTGTTCATGCCTGGTGCAGCAGCCGGCTGGTTCTTAGGTAGTAGAAAGTCTAGGGGCAGTCTAGGCTTGAAGGTCAGTAGCAGACTGTTAGGTCTCACCCCTGTTCCGCTGTGCACAGCGTTGTTGTACAGACTGGCGACGGAAGCAAGTTTCTCATCCCAGTCCACCTGATTAGGCTTGATATAGTGCCTTAGCCGGTGTTGTACAGCGCGGCTCAGTTGCTCTGCTTGCCCGTTTGCCTCTGGGTGGTTCTCGGAGGTCATCTGCAGTTGTGTCCCTTATTCTGCAGCTGCAGCCTTCCACAACTCACTTGTGAATAGGACATCCCAGTCACTCACAAAAGACTTTAGAAGCCTAAAGTCTCTGACCCAGTTCTCTTTAAATAGTCTAACCACGTACTCGGTTTTTGTTGTTTCGGGCATTGCGACTAACCTAGCGTACTTACTAAACCTATCCACAATGACAAAGATGTGTCTCGGTCCACTCTTGCTGGTGACGAGCATGTCCATGAAATCCATGGACAGGCTCTCACCTGGCCTTTCCAGAATTGAAAGGGGCTTGAGAAGCCCAAGAGGGACCTATGTACGGGGCTTGTCTCTCTGACACACCTGACAAGTCTCCACATACAGTTTGGCATCTCTCTTCATTGTGGGCCACCAGAACTGCTGCAGCAAGTTGGCTGCAGTGTTCTTATAACCAAAATGTCACGTGGCGTCATGACACTCACCCAAAAATAAACTACGCAAAGAGTCCCGATTAGGCACCCACAAACGTTTATTCTCTGCCTTTTCGAGGAACAGCAGGCCATTGACCAACACAAACTCGTTAGAAGTCACTTTATCCTTTGCCTCGAGCCTGCGTATGATCTCAGCCATAAACGGATCCTCACGATAGGCTTCCACCAAGGATCGAGTAACGTCGTCCGCAAGCCCAAACTCAGTGATCAGCGCACCAAGGAAGTCTGGCCTACGCGACAGCGCATCAGCAACTTTGTTGTACTCTCCTTTGATGTATTGGGGTTTGAAGTCATAATGTTCTATGACTTCAATCCAGCGTTTCAACGCATCGAAGAGCAGCGGCTGGGTTCTCATCCACTTCAGGGTCTGATGATCATTCCTGGCGTAGAAGAACCTCCCAAGGAGGTAGTGCCTCCAGTGGGTTAACGCTTTGTAGATCACATAGAACTCCTTCTCATAGGTGGACTTAGCCAACTTCTGAGAGGGCATCTTTTTGGACATGTACTCAACCGGCAACATCTGAGAGGGCATCTTTTTGGACATGTACTCAATCGGCAACAACTTTGGCCCCTCCTGCTGCGCCAACACGACACCAATGCCATATTGGCTGGCATCCGTGGTT